CCTCCTCCGCAGCCACTGCCTTCGCCAAGGGAAGGCGCCAGGGCAGCCATGTTGCAGCCGTGCAAGGAAAGCGCGCTTGCCCGCCGGGCCTTGCCCAAGCCCCCTTCCTCGGGGGAACTTTCCGCCTCTTGCAAACGGAGAGGGGGTGCTGCAAAGAGGCCGTGGCGGGCGCCCGAGTTTGCACGGGGTCCTTTCCCCTTTCGTTGCCCCCCAAGCGGCTGGGCGCCAGGAGAGACGACGCGGGTGTTGCAAGCTAGAGAAGGGAGGGGGGCAGGGAAAAGGAGGGGGGCATACAAAGGGGGGGGGCTGGCCTGGGAGCCCCGGGCCATCTTGCCCGTTTGGAGGGGGGGGAAAGCGGGGGGGGGTCAGGAAGCGCTTTTAAGGGCCGCTCGCCTGCGCAGACGGCAAAGAGCGCCGGGCGACGCGCGCGCGAGCGCCTCTCTCGCGCTAAGAGTCCGGCTCCGCCTCTCGCCCGAATCCTACCAATCGGCGTCTTCGCCCAGGTCCGGCCCGAGCTTTCTATTGGCTCAGGCGCGCGTCATTCTCGGCCCGGACTTTCCTCGCGCTTCCCATTCATGCAGTTTGGTTGAGTGTTGGTGTATTTTACTGTTTGCAATAAAGAAGGGGGATTATTTTTATTTTTTTTTTCCAAAAAAGATTCAGGGTTGTTGCGGGGTTTTTTGTTTTTTTTTTGTGCTGCTGCTGCAATTCGCCCGTGCTGTTTTTGTACAGTTTTGCAAAGAAAGAAAAAAAGACTTTTTGTTTTGTTTTTGTTTTGTTTTTTTTTAAAAAAAAATCCAACCGACCAACCAAAATCGGGCCTTTTCTTAAAAAAAAAAAAAGAGCGGGTTTGTTTCGCGCGCGGCGCTTTGATTTTTTTTTTTCTCTCTCTCTCTCTTCTCCCCTCCTTCATCTTTTGCATTTGTTTCGAGGGGAGGGCGACCGCCTTTCCCTCCTCCTCCTCCCCCTTTGCAAAAAAAAAAAAAAATCCGCATCTCGTTTCGGGGTTTGCAACCAACTGTTAAAAGGCTCAACTATGCCCAAAAGAAAGGTAAGCAAACAAACATGGTGGTGGGGGCAACGGAGCGAGGAAGGGGAGACGCGGGAGAAGCCCCTTTTTTTCGCGCGGGGAGGAAGGGGGGCGGGAGAGAAAAGATGGCTTGACTTGCGCGCGCGCGCGCTGGTGCTTGTGTATGTGTGTATGTGCGTGCGTGCGGTTTAGTGGAAGCGGTTTTCCGAGGCGGCTGGCTGTGTCCTGGGCAAGCGGCGCTGGGCCGCCGCGATCGCCACCAGCCGAAAGCTGGGCAGAGTGGAGTTTGGTGGGGGGGGGGGGGAGGTTTGTTTGCCAGACGAAGCCTGCTCGGTGCGTCTCCATGCTGGATTGCAAACAGCCATAGTGCCGCTGCCGACCGCAGGCAGGCAGGCAGGCAGGCAGGCTCGGCTGGCGCCCCACCTCCTCCTCTTCCTCCTCCTTCACCAAATGCAAAAGCCTTGCTGAGCCCCCCCCAGCTGTCTTTGGCCGTCGGAGGGGCGTTTGGACGCGGCTTAAGGGCCGAGGCTTCCCCCGATTGGGGTCTCCGGCTCGCCTGCCATCGCCTTTGTTCTTTTTATTTTTTATTTTTTCTCTTCCCCCCCCCCCCCCTCTGGCCCTTCCTCCTACTTGTCATACCAGATGGTGGTGCAGTGGCGACCCGGAGCCGGCAGGGGGCGCAGAGCTTCGCCATTGCCCGCCGTGGTGGAACTTGGGGGGAGGGGGGGGAGAGAAATGTGGCAAGAGATTTCCCAAGCCCCAAATCGATGCAACTTTAGCAAGGAGGCCTCTCTCTCCCCCCCTCCGCTCTTTCTTTTGCTCCTCTTTTTATTTTATTATTTATTCTTCTGCAAATCCGCTACTTGGGATTTACCCATCGGGGTTCCCGTTTTTTTGCAAGTGCAGCTGCATAAGGAGCGTGGGGGGAGGAGGGGGGAGAAAGCATGCAATAAAAATGGGGGGGGGGGTGTCTCGGTTTGTGCAATTGTAAGGCAGCAAACGAGCCTGCCGGGCAGACTCGCTTCTCGACGTGCCCACCTCCTCGGGGTGGTAGTAGTGATGGTGGAAGCTTAAGCGAGACGCTTTTAAACGCTCCACGCCCTTTGCAGGTCGTTTGCGAACGACCTTGTTCTTTGCAGGTAATTTGGCGGGAATTTTTTTTTTCCTCCGTTTTTTTAAATTTGGGTCGCGGTGACGTCAAGCAACAAAAAAAAACGGACCTGCCCGAGGCATTGTGGGATGTGTAGTCCGGGAGTTTGGAAGAGAGTTTCAAAGCGTGTAAAAAGCTTCCGGACTATTAAAAATTGCAGCTGTTGGCGGAAGAATCTGATCCGTTTCTCTTTTTTTAAAAAAAAAAAAATGGGTCCTACGCTATATTTTATTGGGATTTTTATTTTTGTTTTTTTTTGCAGAAACGTACAGGGAAAGTTAGAAGGCTTGATGTAGAATTGACAAAGGTCCAGAGAGAAATTAATCAGTTCCTACTGAAGTTTTCTTGCACTCCTGTATGTGTAAATCTAGTTGCTCGCTCGGTTAATTCTTTTTATCATTTGCCTCCCCAAATCTGTAGACAGTTTTGATTGATCCCAATAAAGCCTTTCCTCACGTTTTATATTAAAAAATGTCTACTGTCTCCTATTTACTAGACTGTTTATGTTAGTCACATTGGAACAAAAGTAGTTCATATTGTGCTTGTTTCTTTTTTAAACTAGGCTGCAGCTGAAGGTGAAATAAAGGAGGAGGTAAGTTTCTTTTCATACACACACACACACATATTCAGTTGTCAAGATGAAGTGAGTCTTCAAAGGAGTTGGAAAAGCTGAGCTGAACATGCTGACATGCAATGCGAGCATGTGGTAGGATTTTAAATCTACATGGCAAGGATATGTTGGAAGATTGACTTTGCCAAGAATTTGCAAACTGATCAGTGCACACACAATTTATATGCGGAGTGGCATGCAGAATTCTTCATGCAATAAAAAAAATCTGTGCAGTTGGACTTGCTTAAAAGAGAAAAACACTTAGTAAGAATGTTGTCCCCCTCCACCCATTTCCTTCATAGTATTGTCATGCTATCAGCCACAATTGGCTGCATTCAGTACATTAATCTTTGAGCCACAGATTGTAAACCACAATGTGGCTTAGGATTCTGCCTCAGTTTAATTGTTACCAAGAAACCAGTCTTTCTGCTTGGAGAATGTGCTGCAGCCAACCTCAAGCCAATATGGGTTCCGTTCCTCTTTTTTTTTTTTCATCTCTGGGTCTGGAGACGAGAGACTTCTACTTTTCAATTTAAACGGTCATTTCCCCGATGTCAAAACTATCTAGGTTGTTTAAGCTGTGATTAGTGTGAGAAAGGGCCAGGATGACGTTAGACTTTGGGATCAGATCATTTTTCAATCCAGATTTCAGTGTCACACAGAGCTACAGTTGGTCAAAAGCTAAAATAAACTCCACGTAAGTATTGGAGAATGGAGATACAACGGAACCCAGGAAATGGTTAGTTCTGTTCTTGTTTGTCTTCAGATCACTTTGGATTCCTGGCAACTACACAGAACACTCCCTGCAGTTTTCTTGGCAACAGTTTGGAAAGTGGTTGGCCCTTGCCTTCCCACTGTTAAGATTCTAACAATGTTGGCTTTGGCCTAAAGCGGGACTAGAACTCATGGTGTCTTGGTGCTTTCATTATTGCACCAAAGTGGCTCATTCTTACATTTCTGTCCAGCAAAATGTGCTTAATTGGGCAGATAACAAATACTGTCGTCCATCAGTATTGTTTTTGGTTTTTTTACCCACAATAAAGCAAACATTTTGGAAAATTGCTAACCACACTAAGTTCTACATCCTGATAAGTAGTCAGCAGATAAGCAAGAATATCCCAGTTCGGTTTTAAGACAATCCTAGTTTAACTGACCCTAGAGTTTACTGTATTAATAAAAAGGTCAGAAGAGAGTATGTAGACATGATGCTGGTTTTGGTTCCAGTCAGCTATGGTTTTATTGTGCTGTAAGAGTTACAAACCAGCCCACAGTCTTGACATTCCTTCAATATTACATTTCACTTTTGCAAAACTATCCGGTGCATATTTATTTGGAAGAAAACCTTAATGAATGTAATGGGATTTTTGCGTTAAATTGAGTCAGTGTGATTGCCTAAGGTATGTTTTGAATTTCTGTGAATTCTATTTTTAAGAAAACTGATTTTTGGTTTTAGTAATTTGTTTTTGTCTTCGGCAGCCAAAGAGACGATCGGCTAGACTATCTGCTGTGAGTACATGCCTCTTTAAAAAGAAAATCCATATTACATTAAAGCTGTTACAATCAATAGATCTTTCAAAGTATCGTTCAAGTGGTCTCCTGTGAATTATTTACAAGTCTAAATATAATATTTATTCTAAACAGATGACACTATTGCTTTACCATGAGCTAAAGGCTTCAGTATTTTCCAAACTTGCCAGCTTCTAAATCGGGGTCTTCAAACTTGGCCCTTTTATGACTTGTGGATTTGTGGACTTCAACTCCCAGAATTCCTCAGCCAGCAGGGCGGGCTGAGGAATTCTGGAAGTTGAAGTCCACAAGTCATAAAAGGGCCAAGTTTGAAGACCCCTGTTCCAAATAGATGGACTTCATATCTCCCAGAATTCTGAGCCAGCTAAGAATTCTGGGAATTGAAGTCCATAGAACTTGAAGTTGCCATGGTTAAGAAATACTGATCTATATCCTTGTTCTTTATGTAATCATACATGTGTATTTTACTTCACCAATTATAATGGGGAAATTATTGTTGCAGTGATTATAGCTACCCATCTCAAATACCATCTTGGTAGCTTACAACACCTAAAAGCAATATTTTTTTTAAAAAAAAAATCAGATCCAAAATAGAAATCATGCCCCCAAATAACCTATGCACTGGAATAAACGTTCCCAGAGTCATTGGCGGTTTATCAAATACATCTGTCGCTTGATTTTAAGGCTACACCTTTGTGATTCTAAGGCCCAGAAACTTCAGACATTTTAAAAGGGACCGGAGAGGTTTGAGATTGTTACAGCAAGTTGAACAAACAGGAATGCTGTGTTTATTTTACAGCATATCTATGTGCTTTTCTTGCAGAAGCCTGCTCCACCCAAACCAGAGCCAAAGCCGAAAAAGGCAGCACCGAAGGTAAATAAATGACATGCTTGTGTGTCCGGAATGCCTCAATTTAGAATGCCTCAATGTTAGAATAGACATAAAGAAAGTTGCTTTTTCTTTTGTTTGCGCGTGTATGGATGACATGATATAGATCAGAGGTCCCCAACCTGTTGGGCACCAGGGACCGGTTCCGTGGAGAGAGGTTTTTCCGCGGACCGGAGGGGGCGTGGTTTCGTGTACTGCCTGCATCCCGCGGATGGGGCTTTGCTTGTTTGCACAGACCAGTTTCTGGCATGCCGTGGTACTGGTCCACGGACTGGGGGTTGGGGACTCCTGATATAGATGATGATGATGATAACGACAAAATATAACATTTACTTTTACTAAGGGGGAAATATATTTGGAGAGGTTGGATTAGTCGCTTTTGATTATATGGGTGTGAGATTCCAGTCTTATTTAGTCCATTGCTTACTTTGAGAGCATGGTTTTAATTGTATGGCCAAGGAACTGAGTAGCTAAGATGTATCTAAAAAGGGGGGGGGAAAGGGATGAGCAACTGTGTTGTTCTCTTAGGTGTGCAGATTTGAAAGAGGGTAAGCGAACCCTGGAGTTTTTAATGAAAATTCCTTCCCCTGAGAATCTTTGCTGTCCACCATGACAGATGGTTTTAGAAGGGGAACGCATCCCTAGTAACCCAAAATATGGTGCCAAGGCTGTTTGAGTCTGGGATAGGCTTGGCATCTTAAAACGATAAGCAAGGCAGTCGTTTTCCAGACTGTTTATCTGTGGGAGCCAAATAAAAACTCTGCTCTGATCAGATTGTATCTGAAGATGACAGATTGTCATTCACATAAGCCATGGAAAAGAAGACATCAAGTAAAATGGAGGTAATTGAATGACACTTAGTGGTTAAACTGCAGAACTTCATTGATAGAGGAGGGGAAGGACAGTTTTAATTCACTATCTTTAAAGGTTACTGCTAGCTTGACTGGGTTACTTTCAATTTAGCTTAGAGCAGGGGTCTTCAAACTTGGCCCTTTTATGACTTGTGGACTTCAACTCCCAGAATTCCTCAGCCAGGCACGCTGGCTGAGGAATTCTGGGAGTTGAAGTCCACGGGTCATAAAAGGCTTAGAGTTACTGCGAGAGGAGAACAAGGAACCTATATTGAAAAAAAAAAGACTAGGAGTGACATGATAGCAGTGTTCCAATATCTAAGGGGCTGTCACAAAGAAGAGGGGGTCAATCTATTTTCCAAAGCACCTGAAGGCAAGACAAGAAGAAATGGATGGAGACTAACTAAGGAGCGATCCAACCTAGAACTAAGAAATTCCCTGACAGTGAGAAGAATTGTTCAGTGGAACGATTTGCCTCCATAAGTTGTAGGTGCCCCAACACTGGATGTTTTCAGGAAGAGATTGGACAATCATTTGTCTGAAATGGCATAGGATCTCCTGCTTGAGCAGGGTTTCACCAGAACACCTCCAAGGTACCTTCCAACTCTGTTATTCAGTTATAATCATGATTTTCCTGTGAATTTGTTAAAGGGAGGAGAAAACCGTATGGAAATGTAACTAAGAAGGGCACTTGATTTTAGCCCTGTGCTATATTGACTGGATTTTGTATGACTTCGAGCTTGGCCAGAGCTTCAGTGAAAGGGCTGGATTGTAAATAAAAGTTTGAAAATTTTACTTTAATGAATCTGGTGGTGGTGGTGGTGGTGATGAAACTGAGAGAAAGTTACATCAAGATTCCAGCTTAGGCATAATAGGAGGAAACTACGAGAAAGATTGTGTATATTTAATTTTACATGTATTAACTGCAGCAAGAATTGTATTTGCCCAATATTGGACAAATGAAAACTTACCAATGGAAGAAGAACTAATGAAGAAAATTTTAGATTGTGCAGAAATGGACAGATTGACATTAAAGATAAAAGAGAAAGCAGACTCAGTGTACTTTAGAACATGGGACAATTTTTACCAATGGCTAGAAAAGCCAGTTAGAGAGAAAGGAACATGATGTGTACTATGTAACATTGAATATATACTAGTAAGAAGACTATTGAGCGATTAACTAACATACTGATTATGATAATATAGAAATTAACTCTTACTGTTTTTTAAATACATGAACCCAGACAATATGCTGTTTGCTAAATATTAAGAATGTTACTTTAAAAACCACCAACCTTAACCCTAACCCTACAAAAATTAATAAAATATATACAAAAAAAGAGATCCTAGCTAATTCATAGAAAATAAATTTAGTCTTGCAGTTGGCATGTTCCCTCCTTAGGTTTATATGTGTACATTATTACTTGCAACGTGCAATGTATCCTGGAAACTCAGCTTTGACAATGTTTCCAAATGGCCATTCTTCACAGGTTACAATGTACAATGGAAATGAGTTAAAGTCAGGCCAGGCATTACCTCAACATTTTATCTATTTTGTTTTGTATTGGGCTAGCTAAGAAAAATAAATAAGCCTTTCTTTATCCAATCAAAAAGATATATTCAGAGAAAGAAGCAGGGAATCCTGGCACAGAAAACTTCTATACAATTTGGATGCATTTTGTTTTTATCAGCCTTTTTAATTGCATTAACAATTCCCCCTGCGTGGCATCCAAATATGATAATCGTGCTGAAAGCACAGATAAAAGATTTCTTCAATCAGTAGTATGCACTTCATTATTTGAGATGGTGATTTTTCAGTAGTATCCATACCTCTCAGGATGAGATTGCCAATACCCTTTTTTTAAAGAAAAAAAATATTAAAGATAATACGCATCCTGAAAAGGTTATAAATACAAGGATTTGTCAAAAAAAAGGTTACTTTTTCATCAGTAGTAACTGTGAACGGTTGCTAAATGAGGCACTCGCTAAACAAGGACTAACTGTATTGCTTTACCCTCAACAAATAAAGATACTCATCTTATATTTGAGTGCCAGATTTAGGCAGTGGTGTTTTGAGGCTGGCCACGGAAAAAGGAATGGTGACCAAGTGAGACTTTATTCTCTATGTGTGCGTGTGATTCCCTCTAACAGAAAGAAAAAGGAGGGAATGATAAGAAAGAAGACAAAAAAGTAACAACAAAAGGGAAAAAGGGAGCCAAAGGGAAAGATGAAACTAAACAAGAAGATGCTAAAGAAGAAAACCACTCTGAGAATGGAGATACCAAAACTAACGAGGTACGATATATCCCACCGTCCCGAGAATCTTTTCCAAATACATAGGGCAGGGGTCCTCAAACTTGGCCACTTTTAAGACTTGTGGACTTCAACTCCCAGAAGTCCCCAGCCAGCCATGGCTGGCTGGCTGGGGAATTCTGGGAGTTGAAGTCCACAAGTCTTAAAAGTGGCCAAGTGTGAGGACCCCTGACATAGGGAATCGGGAAACTCCACTCAACGGTTTCTGCTTTGTATCCAATCCTTATATACATAGTCCTTGACTTAACAACCACAATTGAGACTAGAATTTCCATTGCTAAAACAAGACCGTTGCTAAGTGAGCCATGCTCAAATTTTACGACCTTTTCGATATGGTTGTTAAGCAGATCACTGCAGTGAACCACGCAGTGGTTAAGGAAACCTGGCGTTTAACTTTTACATCTCGTTTTTAGCTTAGCTTCTCCCTAAAACAAGCATGGAGGGGGCTGGCACACACACACACACACACACACACAGAGAGAGAGAGAGAGAGAGAGAGAGAGAGAGAGAGAGAGATAATAGTTATTTAGGAGAAGCAGTTCAGGAGAAAGGAAAGGCCTACACCGCAGGGAAAAATGAGTCTCCAGGGCCAGAAACCGGGCCATTTTAGTTCATTTATTTGTCTGTTTTCTTTTTTTTCCTCAACCAACATGCAGATATTTCTCTCTCTCTCTTTCTCTCTCTGTTCTTCTGTGTAGCACATTATTTGTTTTTTTATTTTACCCAAACTGCCAGCAATATTATGTAGATATGCAGGTTCCTATTGGGCACAGTGTGTTTTTAAAAGGGGTGTCTTTTTTCTTTAAATTCAGCAGCTGCCTTCTGTGTATACGGGAGAGGGTAGCCTAGCCACACACGGAAGCTGTACCATCCCGTGCTTTCAGACGGCTTCCTTACAGACCGATGGGCACTGTGCCATAGGAGTTCAGAGTTAGGAAAAAAAATATGGTTGGGCGCTAGAGTTAGCAAATGAGCCAAAGCTGGGAGTCTGCTGTTGTGTGCAAGAATGGAAGTTGGTAAACTGTGCAGAATTCATGGTTTATGGGACTGAGCTACGGTTACGCCCAGCATCCTCTGCAATGGATTCTCTTCCTAGCCTAATTCAATTTCTGTTTCTCTCCAATACTAACAGGCACCAGCTGCTGAAGTATCTGATGACAAGGAAGCCAAGTCCGAGTAACAGATTTAGCCCTCTTCATTTCCATCATTTGGTATTCGTACCTCCATACTGTATTGTTAAGAGAGGAATATTTTTATCAACTATTTTATAAATGCAGGTTTTTTTAGCATGAATTTAATCATGGAACATCTTCATCTCGGTTACTTGGACTTCAAAACCAACCAACCAACGACAACAACAACAAAAAAAATTTATTGTTTTTAAAATTTTGTGATTGTCATAGTTTGTATGGTACCCAGAAAGAATCAGTGGTGGTAGCTATTGACTTCTATCAGTATATAATCCCTTTGTGTGTCAGTCATACGGAATTCAGATTTTAATTTTACCCTTGTTACATGTTGTATGGTTTCTTAACGTGGGGAGGTCTAAAAAAAAAAAAAAATACACACACAAAAACCACAATTGCGTCAGACATTCCGGTGGTTCTGTGACTTGCTTTTATAAAGAAGGTGAGATATTTTCATGAAAAATCTTAAGAAGCTGGAAACTTGTTGTATCCCAAATGTAGTTTTATTTTGTCACATTTTGGAGAATAATATTAAAATATGTAATCATGTTTTTAAATGAAATACAAAAAAAAAACTTTTAAAAAAGAGAAGGGCAGGTTTGACTGAATATACCCACTGTTAGGAATTTTGCTGGATTTATCTTAATAAAATGTCTCCTCAAAAGATGCATGATTTTGGGCTGCGTTATGTTATAGATATATTTTCTGCCTTTGAGGTTCTCTTCCGGTCCCTTGTGCAGGAAAGCCAATATGGGATTACATTTAATGTTATTTGATCTTTGGTTCTGCGTTTTCTTTAAAAAGAAGATGATCACGTGAAGTATGAATACCACTTTACAAGGCCTTGGTAAGGCCACACTTGGAATACTGCATCCAGTTTTGGTCACCACAATGTAAAAAAGATGTTGAGACTCTAGAAAGTGCAGAGAAGAGCAACAAAGATGATTAGGGGACTGGAGGCTAAAGCATATAAGGAACGGCTGCTGGAATTGGGTATGTCTAGTTTAACGATGAGAAGGACGAGGGGGGACATGATAGCAGTGTTCCAATATCAGGGGCTGCCACAAAGAAGAGGGAGTCAAGCTATTCTCCAAGGCGCCTGAAGGCAGGACGAGAAGCAATGGGTGGAAACTGATCAAGGAAAGAAGCAACCTAGAACTAAGGAGAAACTTCCTGACAGTCAGAACAATTAACCAGTGGAACAACCTGCCTCCAGAAGCAGTGAATGCTCCAACACTGGAAGTTTTTAAGAAGAGATTGGACAGCCGCTTGTCCGAAATGGTATGTAGGGTCTCCTGCCTGAGCAGGGGGTTGGACTAGATGACTTCCAAAATCCCAACTTTATTATTATTATAAGGGGCCCAAATTGTGTTTAATATCTTGGCAAAACATGGTTTCCCAGCTACCCTGCTCTGAGCCTGGCTATTCATTTGCTCCATCACTATCACAGATCTGAATTTCGGTACAAGCTATTGTCAACCAGTAGCATTTTCCTGTAAACTGAGGAGCAGGAGAGAAAGAAGAGATTGCAGTATATATATGCGGAGAAGCCCTCACAATTCTTGGTTCAATGGTTTGAAATGGCTGTGGGTGTTCTAGTAATTGCTCTTGTATGGGGCGGAGGGAGTTGATAGCTCGTTCACAAAAATAGTTGCCGTGATGATTTCGGCATTCACAAAAAATATGGCGATACTAAAAGGCAATCTTTGAGACTCCTGGTGATGCAGTGGTTAGAATGCAGTATTGCAGGCAAAGTGCCCGCAGCCTGGAGTTCAATCCTGACAGGCTTGAAGTTGACTCAGCCTTCCACCCTTTACAGCAGGGGTAGTCAACCTTGGCTCTTTTATGACTCGTGGACTTCAACTCCCAGCATAGCTGGCTCAGGAATTCTGGGAGTTGAAGTCCACGAGTCATAAAAGAGCCAAGGTTGACTACCCCTGCTTTACAGATTGGTAAAATGAGGGCCCAGGTTGTTGGGGGCAATAGGCTGACTCTAAACCACTCAGAGAGGGCTGTAAAGCACTGGGGAGGGGTAAGTCTAAGCACTATTGCTATCAGGAGGCAGTCTTGTAGGGAAAGTCAGTGTCAGGCCTTGTTTTGAAGGTTAAAAAGAGCTTTAACAGGTGAGCTGTGGAACCTGGTGGTCTCTAAGGAAGCCACCATCAGGCAGCTTTGTATCCTCCAGACGGAAATCATTCATTTTTATTTGGAAAGGATTATCTGCAAGTTAAGTGAGGAAGCCTAAGGAATCCACAACAGTATATTTGTAAAAGTACAATGAAAGCCAAGATTTTAAATTCGTGCTTCTCAATCTTGGTAACTTCAAGATGTGGACCTCAGTTCTCGGAATTCCTCAAGTAATTCCCTCAGCTGGGAATTCTGGAACTTGAAGTCCACATTTCTTCAAGTTACCAAGATTGAGAAACACTATCTTAAATAAATGTAGGCAAGAGTTTTATGGGCAGGCCTATAGATCATTCTGAACACTGAATTCTGAAAAAGAATAAAAAGATCTATACAAACTGTGTTTCAGCCACTCAAGATCTCTACTCTTCCAGTCTTGTTTCCTGTCTTGCTATTCAAACACAATTTCAAAGTTCATAAGAAAGTTGCTTTGTTTTCTTAACAGTTTCAAATATTTGGTTGATTATAGATTTAAACCAGAAACGCATATGCTTGCTTGACAGTGTCTATAATAAATAACAGTTGGCTGGATCAGCATGTCACAGAAAGCCAAAATCAAATTCATCTTAACATGATACAGTAAGGCTGTGCCATTCTTAAGGTGACCCACTAAACATACTACATTTAGATCTACTGATTTTGGTCTAAATGCAAACATTGTATCATTACTATTGCAAATATTTAAAATCCAGCTCATAATTCCAGATAGCCACTATATTGCGCTTTCCAGCACATTATTTGAAATCTTGGGATTTCCAGGTCATTCTGACACGCACTAAAATGATGTAAAAACTTTACTCACGGCTACCCGACAACAGTTGTAATGAATACAGGAAAAAGGAAAACAGAATGTTTATATGGCAAATAGAACAGGTTAATTTTAGCTATGGCTGGTTTTCTTGTATTATATGTCTCACTGATGCTACACCTATAGCTGATCAAACTAATGGCCTTTAAGAATATTCATAAATGCTTTAAACACTTTTTAAAAAGATGTGTAGCAAATCATTTTACAAAGCAGAGGGAATGGGACAGTGAAAAACTCAAACTAGCAAAAAGCTCAGTGGCTACAAAGCTGGAGGTGATAAGAACTGGAATTCATAGTCAATTGTGACCTATAAAGACACTTTGAATAATGAAGGAAAATTAAAACACAGACAAGAATTAGAAGAACAGAGTATTGACCCACCATGGTGGCCATCTCTGCAAATCCAAACGAGATACAAAAAAAAGATGTTAAAACATCTGGATTTTATACAGAACACAGAATTTGGCCAGATACTACTGACATCAGATGAAAAATTGATTAAGAAACTTTATAAATATATGTTAAGTTTAAAGATGGAAGAGGAACAAGTTAAAGAAACAATGATAACACGGGCAAAGAATTTTGGACATAACAGAACTAGAATTCAACACATCTAAAAGACAGTTGATAAAAGCTGATTTCCAAGATGGGCCCTCCCTGGCATCAACAGCCCTGCGAATGAACATATAGGATGAGCAACCCATTAGATCAGTGGCATGCATAAAATAGCATGCTATGCTTAAGCATGCGCTTACCTCTCTTTTTTTTAAACGCTAAATGATCAGATTTATTCAGAACATTCCTGCCATCTGTTTCTGAGTGGGCAGCAGCTGCCTCTAAAAAAGCAATAGATAATCTACCCCTCCCCTTCCCCCCAACACCAGCGTTTTCGATGGCCATAAGACTTACCATTTTGAATGCTGCTGAATAAATGACAAGCGGGGCAGATTTTTTTTTAAAAAAAGGATATTGATAAACGCTATTGCTTGCGACGGCCAACTTTTTAAATTCGGAAAATTATAATGTTTGGAACAATTTAGACTCTGCGTTAAGAGCAGATGTTTGCGTATTTTGGGTCCGTCTACTTCATAACAAAACCACTTTTTTTTTCCAATTTGCATGGCACTCCTTGGTGTTATTGTGCTTATGTACTGCCAATGCTCTGCCTGCAAATCGCTGTTAATTTTTCACTTTTTCCTTTGGCTGCTTCATTATGTAATCATACGAATGTGTATTCAATAGGAGGCCCTCTTAGGCTTCTAATGAATGGGGTGTAGTATAGCAGCCATTACTCTATGTTATTCAACAATCTACTATAACGGAGCATCGGGCAGTGTGAATAAAAAAATGGTGACAGTGATTTCTCTGCTCAGCCCTCCAGAGTCACTTATAGGGCATAACAATTTAATAAATAAAAAATAAATATCGTGTTTTTCCAAAGCTGTTATCTGTTGATGAAGATTTTGAAGCCCCTGTGCGGTAAGACACTTGCTTCAAGATCAAATACCCAGGAAATAAGTTATTCAGTGCCATTAAGGAGGCAATCAGAAATGAGGAGGTGATAAACCACCTGGGAAAGGCAAGGGAAATCATCAAAACAATTAAAAAAAACGAAAATTAGAATATTTCGGACATGTGATGCGACACCCAGAAAAATACAGCATGCTCCATTTAATCCTCCAGGGAAAGATGGAAGGCCAACGAGGTCCAGGCAGAAGAAGAACATTGTGGCTTCAAAATCTAAGGGATTGGTTTGGACAAAACTCAGCAGCACTTTTTCGTGCGGCTGCTGATAAAAACAGGATCGCCAACATGATCGCCAACGTCCGATAACGGATATGGCACAAGAAGAAGGAGGCAATGGGGCAGGGTAGGTACTGGGTTTCACTGGTCCTCCTGACTTCTCTTAGATATATGGTATGGGCAGGCTGGGAAAAGTTGAGCCAGAAGCTCATAATTTGTCTCAGGGCTTGATGTTCTCTCCTATTTTGTTTGAACGTCTACTTGAAGACATCTACAGGTAGTTCTTAACTTACAACCACAACCGAGCCCAAAATTTCTGTTGTTAACTGAGACATTTGTTAAGCGGGTTTTGCCCCTTTTTACGACTATCACAGTTGTTAAGTGAATCACTGCAGCTGATAAGTTAGCAACTTGGTTGTTAAGTGAATCTGGCTCCCCCATTGACATTGCTTGTCAGAAAGTCGCAAAAGGGAATCACGTGACCCGAGGACCTTGCAACGGTCATAAGTGATGAACCAGTTCCCAAGCGTCTGAATTTTGATCACATGATCACGGGGTTGCTGCGAAGGCTGTAACTGTTAAAAAACGATCATAAGTCACTTTGTTAAGTGAGTTTTGTCTCGTTTTATGACTTTTCTTGCCACAGTTGTGAAGTGAATCACTGCAGTTGTTAAGTTAGCAACACGGCTGTTAAGTAAATCTGGCTTCCCCCATTGACTTTGCTTGTCAGAAGGTCACAAAAGCGGATCACGTGACCAAGGGACACTGCAATCATCTTAAGTATGAGTCAGTTGCCAAGCGTCTGAATTTTGATCACGTGACCAACGGGGCTGCTGCAACGATCGTGTCAAAAACAGTCATCCTTCAGTTTTTTTTTCCAGTGCCGTTGTAACTTTGAATGATCACTAAATGAACCGTTGTAAGTCAAGGA